TCATGAAGTTTGACGAAGCCTGGGTCAGAACGTAAGCAGCCGTTAAAATAACAAAACCCAAACCCAATTTTGAAGAACGTCACTAGTCCTCTTTTGTTTGTAATATTTGATTTTTATTTTAAACATTATCTTTTCCCCATGATCTAAAAATAACTTTTCCTCCCCAAGCACTTCTTTTATAGAAGAGTTTTATTCTCACCCCCCCCTTATAAAGAAATAATACTTTACAGCTTGCCTTTCCCTCCCACCCAATTTGTGCAAATATCCTGCCTTGCCTCAAGTTGTAAAAGACACCTTCAACGTTCTCTTAATGTCCCGTAAGAAGAAGAAGAAGAAGGAGGACAAGGAGAAGGAGAAGGAGAAGGAGGAGGAGGAGGAGAAGAAGAAGAAGAAGAAGAAGAAGAAGAAGAAGAAGAAGAAGAAGAAGAAGAAGAAGAAGAAGAAGAAGAAGAAGAAGAAGAAGAAGAAGAAGAAAACTTTCTTGTGAACTCTTCCACCTGCTTCTAATATCAAGTGTCTTGTCTTGATGAGTATCACAGTCGCAGAGAAGCACAACTTTGTTCCTACATTGTGTTGAACCAAACCGACAAATCTGCTCGCCTCATCTTTACCCAGTTCAAACAAAAGCATTTGACCAAGTCACAAATGTTAGCCCCACAAGGTGCTGGACGAGCCTTGGGAAGCTGGGTTCGTGGAGGACAAGGTCTTGGTTGGGTCCCTGATCAAACACACGCTCTCTCTCCCACTTCAGATCCCATGGTCCTCCTCTCCCAAGTTTTCTGTCCTGGAGCCAGCCTTGCCTTTGCGTCTTGGAGATCGTCTCTTGGACAGTTCAAGTCTTCAGTTGTGCTTTGTGATCAGATGGCAGGGGAATTGCGGTTGGTTGGCACAGCCAGCCCAAGGTTTAGACTCGATCTGGCTTTTTAAATTCATCTATTGCAGAGGTGGTATTCAGCAGGTTTTGACCAGTTCTGGAGAACCGGTAGCGGAAATTTTGAGTAGTTCAGAATACCACCTCTGACTGGCCCCGCCCCCATCTATTCTCTGCCTCCCGAGTCCCAGCTGATCAGCTGGGGCTTCTTTGGTTGCCCTGTACAGGAGAACGGAGCTAGAAAGCAGGTTAGTGGGGTGGGGATTTTACACTATCCTTCCGCTGCCATGCCTACCAAGCCAAGCCACGCCCACCAAGCCATACCCACACAACTGGTAGTAAAAAAAATCTGAATCCCACCCACTGACTTATTGACTCCTTCCCAAGGACCTGAGCTAGGACTTGATAGGTGGCTCAGAATGCCAAAGCCAGTCTAAACATCTAGTTATGGGACCAACCGTAACGTTTCCACATTTCCAGAGAAGAAAAAGAAACACTTCAGTGACATAGTTAGTACTTTGGGAAGGCTGCAGGGAAATCTCATTAGCTAAAACTATTTGAGAAAGGGGGGGGAAATCAGGAAATTAGGATTTTATTAGCATTCTCCCCCTATCCCACTTTGCAAGTTATAATCCTAGCACTGTCTGAGTACAATCAGGACTCTGGGGTCCTTGGTGCTGTCTGAGCTTGGTTGTTTTCTTACATGTTTCATTAGCAAACTACGTAATCTACTAGGACTAGATAATGTAAACTGGGTAATCTAAAGTAAGTAATCAATGCTAGTTGATGTTAGCTAATTTGGTAATGAAACCACTACAAGAAAACAACCACTCTTAGGGAGCACCAAGGACCCTACAGCTCAATCCCGAGCTTCAAGTATTCTTTTTTATCTGGGACTTCTGATCTGAAATCTGTTCTTTGTACTAGCGTATTAGTAAATTAATCATTAAAAAGTATGTTCCTAATGCGTCCTTTTGATCTCTCTTAATCTTTCAAAGAAAGTCTGTCTAGTTCACTAAAGAGGTCCAAGAAATGGACAAAACGTTTAAAAGATCAAATTGGGAAGTCATTTCCCACAGCTGTATTGCATTTGCCTCTCTGATTTTAGCCTGAATATTCTGGCTAATCCTGACATTCACCTCAGATTTTCTCCAATTCCAGGTATATCACCGATATTTCTCTTAATTCTGGATGGACTTAGTCCAACACACAAAGGCATCAGGTCAGGAAAGGAACAGTGGCTCTTAAAATGTTTGGCCCAAATGATAATTTTCCTATTCTTGAATAATGTCATTCTCCCCAGAAAAGACCTGATTCTGTTGTTATATAAGTGTCTCACCAGTAGCAGTCCCAAACTGGACCCACAACTCTCAGACAAAATTTACATATTATTTCATTAACCCCAGGATTAAATTAATCAAATTATCAGTTTGGGGTTAACTTTCCCCAGTTTAAAAACCACTGCAATACCAAATACATTACAATTATATACCTTACAATTATAAAATTGCAAATTATAAAGCTGCAAAATACAATTCTTCCCTGTAAAATGCCCCATCACAAGGTTTTGGGTTCTGCTAGGAGGCAGGAAATTCCTCTTTTTTTTCTGAAAGAGTCCACTTGGATTTGGGCCAGACTTTTAAACAAATCCTTTACTCTTAAGAGAAAGTTTAGAGCAGGGGTGTCCAACCTTGGCAGCTTTGCTGGCTGAGGAATTCTGGGAGTTGAAGTCCACAAGTCTTAAAGTTGCCAAGGTTGGACACCCCTGGTTTAGAGCAAGGAAAAAAGAATTTACCCATGCCATCTGTAAAATGCCAGGCTTCCATGTGCCAAAATTTCTTGAAAAAAAATTATATAAATTTAAAGCTTGGCTTTTAAGTGAGAATTAATCCTGATTTGGTCCCTGAAATCTCGTATAAGGAAATGAGAAGAAGCATACAAAATTTAGGAACTGGCCTGTTGATTTTTGAGGGGATATTATTATTATTATTGTGAAGACAAGAATGAATTGGAAATCTTTCCCATGATGGTCTGCAACTAGTTTAACCACCGGTTCTGTGAGGCACACAGCATTCAAAAACCACCCATTTGGACCTCTACAAGCTTAACTTCTAGGACAGCCCTGGTACGTAAAACAGCTGAAATCCACGGGGCTCCGTGAATCAGAGGAGCTGAAAAACACAGAAATATAGGACAGGACAGGGCGGGGGACGGGACAGGTGGGCGGGGCTTCCAAACCTGCAGCCTCCCACCACTGGGTCTTTCCAATTTTCTCCGATTCTTGTTCCACTCTGCAATTTTTTTCCCCAAATTTGGTTCACACCTGTGCCTTTCAGCACTAATCATTTAACTTTAGGTGGAAAAGTTTGCAGAGCGAGAGGCAAAAAGGTTACGGATGAGAGAACAGCCTGTTGCTTGAGTTCACCAGGTTTCCCGGGGGGGGGGCAAAAGGAATGGGGAAAAAAAAATCAAACCAACATGAAAAGTGCTTTTATGTCAAGCTGCGTTCCCCAACACACTTATGACTTTAACTCCATTTTGAATGGCATTCGCAGGAGGAAGAATTATGGAGCCTGTGTTGGGAATGAGGCTGGAGAGGGGAGGGAAAAGTCTTTAGCAGGTCAGCTGATGAGAAGCAAAAAGGGGTCAAGAAGGAGAGATTTTGGGCCAGAATCAGGACTGTTGTAAAGTCATTTGATTCCCAGAACCAGAACTCGGGGAAGGGAAGGGAAGCGGGTTTTGAGGGGGCTGAAGTTTTGCTAGCCAATCTGATTTCTTGGCTCTCTTAAAAGCTCTCCTTTACAAAATAAAAAATAATAATAAAAATCACAGGTAGTCCTCAACTTACAACCATTTGTTTAAGTGACCATTCCAAATGACAACAGAAGTGATTGACAGCCAGTCCTTGTGCCACAGTTCGTGGGATCAAAATTGGGGAGCTGGACTCAGCTGGCGTTGTGTTTATGATGGCTGCAGAGATCCCCATTTGCAAGTCCGAGGGGTAAGTTAGATTTGCTGAATGACCTCCTGATTCGCTTTGCAGCTACCCTGATCTTGTGTGTCCAATCACACTTGGCCAATAAAGTGTTCTCATTCTGATTCCTTATCAACCGTGATAAAATCGGCCGTGACTCACCTTGCTTAATAATAAAAACCCTGCTCCCAATAGTAGTTGTAAATTGAGGACTACCTATGTTCAGATTAATTCCTTTTATCCTCTGAAATTCTATTTCTGAGCTCTCTCTTCCTTTTGAGTGAAGTGGATCTTCTGAAGTCTCCAAAGGTTTTTCTTTTTCCAGTGTCCGCCTTTGTTTTTGACACGTTCCTCTTTTTCCTCAGGTTGGGCCAGAAAAGCAGAACAAAGGCCGGGTGTGAGGTATCCTGTTGCAAAAGGGGGTTCGTTGCTGGGATTTTCCACTGTTGTCGCTGCTTTGCCTCCGCCGCTCTCTCCCTTAGTCCATCCCCACGTCCCGCTCAGGACCGCTGCAATAGGTGGAAGCTGCTGGGCCGCAGTTTCATCTCAGTGAAAGGAATGGAAAACTCAAATCCTTTCCAGTTAAACCAGTTGACACCCTGGAATGGAGGAGAAGAGAGGGGATAATACGTGAGGAACACAGAGCCGAACCTGTCAAATCTAGATTCCTCCCCTTTCTGCCAAAGGAAGATAAGCGACGTCAGAGAAAGAGAGAAAGAGAGAGAGAGAGAGAAACTGAGGTAAAAGTGTTTCATACAGGTAGTCCTCAACTTACGACCACAATTGAGCCCAACATTTTTGCTGCTAAATGAAACATTTGCAGGGGTGGGCTTCAAAAATATCAGGAACTGGTTGTCTGCCCAGTTGCTGGGTGGGTGTGGCCATGGTGGGAGTGGCCTAACCATCCACTTGCACCACGGTGGGGGGGAGGGGCATTTTTGCCCTCCCCAGGCTCCAAAGGCTTTCCTCGAGCCTCTGGGAGGGCGAAAACCGGCTCCAGAGGCCCTCCAGAGGCTGGAAATTGGCCCATTTCCAGCCTTCTGGAGCCTCCAAGAGGCCTGTTTGTCACCTTCCCCAAGCCTCAAGGAGAGATTTAACCTGAAAATAAGGAGAAACTTTCTTACAGAGAGAACAATCAACCAATGGAACAGCTTTGGAAGTTGTGGGAGCGCCATCACTTGAGACCTTCAAGAAGAGATTGGACTGCCATCTGTCAGAAATGGTGTAGGGTCTCCTGCTTGGGTGAGGGGTTGGACTAGATGACCTACAAGGTCTCTTCCAACTCTGATTATCTGTTATCTGTTATTTATCTGCCTTCGTACGGGCCCTGCACTTATCTGGCATCCAAACGGGGCACATGGAGACTATAGGAGGAGCAGGATGTAGCCAGCCAGGGGTGGGATTTACCAGTTCACCAAATCAACCATAAAACTAGTGATGGGTTTACCTGAACCGGGGAGAACCGGTAGTAGCCCAACCCTAAACATTTCTCAAGTGAATTTTGCCCCATTTTACGACCTTTTGCCATAGTCGTTAAGGGAATCACTGCCATTATTAAGTTAGCAAGACAGTTGTTAAATGAATCTGGCTTCCTCTTTGACTTTGCTTGTCAGGAGGTCACAAAAGGGGGATCACAGGACCCCCCCAGGACACTGCAACCATCATAAATGGGAGGCAATGGCTAAGCGTCCAAATTTTGATCACCTGACCATGGGGATGCTGCAACGGTCGTAAGTGTGACAAACGGTCCCAAGTCACGTTTTTCAGCACGGTTGTAACTTTGAGCGGTCACTAAATGAACCGTTATAAATCGAGGACTACCTGTCAACGGTCCGACTGACAAACCCAACCAAAGCAAGTACATTCGAGATCTTCTGATGCCTGAATGCAAAACTTTATTGAGCACATCATTTGGCACCGAGGAAGGCAAAATCAGCTCTGCCTAATTCCTGTGCAAACCCACATACAGTAGTTGCAATGCCCTATTAGTGCAGGTCACATTGTTCAATGGAGAGTCATTATTTTGCTATGAGAAAAAGTCTTGGCAAACACCTGCCGATGTGTCCTTGGCTCTCATGGCTCTTCTTCTTGAAGTCTGGAGCCTGCATTCCATCTCACCTTTCCCTCCATACTCGTTTCTTCGGCAAGTTGAGAATGGTTGCAACAGCATAAGCGCACTTCGAGATTGATTGTACCTCTGTGCTATAAACCAGCAGTTGCCAACTGGTGTGGGCCGCAAGAAAATTTTGGTGGACCACAGAGAAATCTCACCCCCAGAGCACCCCCCTAAAGCAATTAATCCAGGCTGTGCAGAAACACAAGGCTGTGCCGCCCACATGGCCCGCAGGGACCCTCCCCGCCTATTCACTTCTTACGCAGCAAACTTGCCTGCTAAATTGCTATTTTTCCGACCATCAGCTGTTCTGCTGTGCCAGGAGATTTAGATTAGCTAGGAAGCAGGAAATGGTTGGATTTCTTGCTTTCTAGCTAGTCTTTGGATCTTTGGCACTGCTCCCTTAGGACTGAAGGTTCTATTATTCAGTGCAGACTCATGACAAGTAAATTTTATGTGACAGACTGAGCTACCCGATGGCAGATAGATAGATCACTGAATGATTCTGTGAGCAACTCAATCTGCCTGCCTGTTTTCCCTGATTTGGGGTAAAAGTTGCTCTTTTTTAAAATAAAAAGTTCAATATTTACATACATGGTGTGTTGTGAGTTAATTTTGTGAGTTTGCTTGCAAGCAAATTTTATGTGACAGACTGAGCTAGCCGATAGCAGATAGATAGATCTCTCAATGAATCTGTGATTCTGGGATCAACTTAATCTGCCTGCCTGCTTTGCCTGCTTTTGGGTAAAAGGTGCTCTTTTTTAATTAAAAATTCAATATTTCTATAAATATTTATAATATTTACATACAAGCCATGCCCAACCAATCACATGACCACCAAGGCACACCCACAAATTAGGCCACGCCTACAGAATCAGTTAGTGGTCCCTGGGATTTAAAATTATGAGTTTGGTGGTCCCTGGGGTCCAAAAGGTTGGTGACCCCTGATAGAAGCCACCCAGTCGTTTGACATGAGATGGGTGGCAAATAAATTTCAAAAGAAATAAATAAAAGTGACCCAGCAAGAGGTCTACCTGACAAGGAGCCCACTTAAAAGAGTGGGAAACAGGAGCGCTCTCAGGCTGTGGTCAAAAAAAGTTAAACTGGAGGCCCCGCGGTCTGCTTGAAATGCCATATATTAAAAAAGTGACTTAGGAACGTTTTTCACACTCACAACCGTTGCATCCCCAGGGTCACACAATTAAAATTCAGACGCTTGGCAACTGACTCATATTTATGACGGGTGCAGAGTCCCAGGATCACATGATCCCATTTCGCGACCTGCTGACAAGCAAAGCCAATGGGGGAAGCCAGACCATGTTACTAACTAAACAACTTGCAATAATTCACTTAACCACGGTGGCAAGGAAGGTCACAAAAATGGGACCAAATTTACTTAACAACTGCCTCACTTAGCAACAGAAATCTTGGGCTCAATTGTGGTTGTAGGAGCAGGACTACTGTAGCACATCTTGTGATTTGTATCTGGTTTTTCCCCAGGAGGCTGACATCAATCTTGCAAACCTCTTCTCTGTTGTCTCCTTTAGCCTGAGAAGTGATAGTTCACTGGTCCAGTGGTGGGATTGCAATATTTTTACCATCGGTTTGGTGGGTGTGGCTTGGTGGGCGCGCTTTGCACAATCGTGCACTTTGCACAGGCGCAGAGGCGTTCTAACTCACCTCCTGCAAGCCTGCACGATCACGGTCACTTCAGCAGCTGCCGAGCGGCACTCTTCTGTGCCGCGCAAAGCAGCTGCACTTCAAATTCAGAGGATAAAGGTGAGTATGGGAGCCCGGGTGGGCAGGTGAGTCCAACAGCAGAGTGGTGGAGAGAACTGGTTTGGTCTTCGCTACTCATCGCTGCTACCGGCTCCGCAGAACCGGGCTGAACCGGTAGAATACCACCACTGGGAAGGTCTCTCCCGAGCCGATTGCCCTCTCCACTGTTGAGCTGAGGGCTATGTTGTCTCTTATCTGATTGCTCCCTCGGTAGCATCTCTTGGCTCAGTCTCCCAAGGTTTTTCCCACATACCACTACATCATTCCCCAACCTTCCCAAAGTACAGGCTACTTTTTGTTCCATCCCACCTGCCCACAGGGGGAATTACCTGTTGATCACGGTTGTTAGCATAGAGCCCGTTGAGGTTGGTGTAGTGGCAGTTGCGATACCACCATGCCCCACGGTAAGAAATGGCACAGGGGATGATGACCCGATTCGGATCCCGGTCCCGAGTGGAGAAAACACTCCCTGAGTGGTAGCTTAAGGCATCACCTGGGTGAAAGAGAAAGTGGGAAAGTGAGAGTGACAAACAACCACAGTCCTACCTCTTGAATTTTGGGCTGCCCACAAAGGACTCTCAAGAATTATCTTCTTCCCTGTGTATGTGAATCCCTTCTGCTACAGGTAGTCCTTGATCTATGACTGATCGAAGTTATGATGGACCTCCCCAGATCGACTTACAACCCATTTTGAGAGAAACAATGGCTGCAACTCCCCAAGTCACATGATCACTTATCTATCTATCTATCTATCTATCTATCTATCTATCTATCTATCTAT